CCAGACAGAGTTGCGTCGTAATTGAAAATTTTTTTTCGTAATCGTAATTCGTAATTTTCAAAAAAATTTCGTAATCGTAATTCGTAACTGAAAAAATACGTAATTCGTAATTTTTTAAAAATATTTAAATTATCTTAAAAAATCAAATATTTATTAATAATTGCTGCTGTTACCATTAATCCCTCCAAGTCTCTTAATCTTAATAATAAATCCTCTCCAAGTCTCTTAATCTCTCTTAATCCTAATAATCCTCCGATATCTCTTCAATTAATGATGCGGAATCATAGTCCAGATTAAAGTTTGATATCATGTGAAATCCCTCTCACATAATCTTGAGCCAAAACTTTTTAGAAAATTCATGACTAATTAAAAATTTTAAAGTTTTTCAATTTTAAAATATTAAAAATATAAATTTACAAACTTAAAATCAAAATTAAAGTTTAAAACGTTTATTTTTGAAAAATGAATTGTCTAAATATTATTCCCCACGCATTGATTCGAACCAAACCTCACAAAAATCAAATGAGTAAGCTTGACTTTTAACCCACTCAACCACCGATAAACAAAAGTAAGTGTGAGAGAAAATATAAATATTTCTTCCCCTTTTCATTCTAAAATTTAATGGCAAAATTATTTTCGTAATTCGTAATTTTTCCCTAAATTTTCGTAATCGAAATTCGTAAATACGACGCAACCCTGATTCAATTGAAATTTAATTTTTGTTTTATTTTATGTGGGGTAAAAGTTTTTTATAAAAAATTTAAAAATAGATCGAAAAATAAAAGCACGGTCTCTAATTGAAGCACTTTCCAAAATAAGCACACCCTACCAATTGAAAAATAGAAGCACATGTGCTTCATTCAATCAGAGATTTACAGTATTACTTTTTAAAGAGGTGGATGAAAAAATAAGAAAAGGGAGTTATACAACAAGAAATTTTACGACTGAGAAGTTAACTTGGAAATGTTCTAGTCATTTAATCCTTTATTTGTATAACAATCCATAAGATTAACAAGAATCCATTCACCTTCCGGATTCTTCCAATACCAATTTGCATCGTTGGAACCTTTCACAGTCTAAAATTTAAATTTACTTTTTAGTCTAATTTAACAAGCAGCCTTGACACAATTTTCGAAATTCAAAGAAATCATTCTTTGGGAATAGGGAAAGGGCCCTAACAAGTCTTCGATAACTTCAATTTAGATTCTCTAAATTATGCAAAAATATTCGATGTTTGATTTCAATCAAGAATTCAATAGGACAGATATTTCTTCATTTAAATTTTTTATTACCTTGCAGTAAAAACATGTTGAATAAATACATTTTGGATCTGGGTTTTTATCTTCAATACAGTCATTTCGACGGAAATGTATACCATTAATCTTAAATAAAAATAGTTAAAATAATCTACATAAACGTAAAACAAACAATCATCGAATAATCACTTTTGCAAGCTAAACAAAATTCAGGTCCAACTCTATCCGGTGATTCAATCCTTTTTCCTTCAGGTGTTAGAGCAAAATTTCCTTTATCATCTAACTCATATAGTTTTTGGGGATATTGCAAATTGCCAGTTTTTAAAATTGATTTACGCACTTCAATGCAATTTGAAGATTCTTGTGAAGGTGCAAGTTCTAAAAACATTTCAGAATGTATTTAGAGCTCTAGACTTATTTCCCAATTGGTCTTTATGAATAAAACTATTCTTGTTCAATGAAAATGTATAAAACTTATCGAAAATTAAACAGACCCACAAGATCTAAAAAATTAGCAATTTAATGCAAGATCAACACCAAGAGTTTTGGTAGTTCTTATTTTCTCTTGTAAAATTAAGATACTTTTTAAAACTAAGTTTTTTTCTTAAAAACAGCAAAATGTCGGGAACATTACTACATATTTTCGCAGCGAGTTATTTTCTTAAAATAACTTACCGGCTTTGTAACTAATGTCGTATTCTCCTATCCAGCCCTTCATCATAATTAATACTTCAGTATTTTCTTCAGAACTAATAGTTAGAATTCTGTCATTTTTTGTGTCACAACAAATTCTAGCTCCTAAAAATGGTGAAAAAATATTTTTAAAACAAAAGATCAAACCAGTTGGTGTTTTATCTTTGAAATATTTAATTTCTATATAATTATCTCGACAAGGATGACCACAGTTATAGCCTTTGATTTCTCTAACTTCTATTAATGTACGTTTTGCTTTGATTTGATTAGGATTCGTTTCTTTTGGCTAAAAATTAAAATTTTTTACAAATAAAAGCTTGATTTGATATTCGGACCTCATTATGGTATACTCTCACTGATGTATACAGGGTGATAAGAAAGTAATGGGGAATTCGATGGATAACTCTTTCTGATTTTTGGAGCCCTTAATAACAGAAAAGTTATGAACAATCCGCTAATCACTCGTTCTGGATCTTACGCAAAGAGGTGAGAACTTTTATTCAAAAATTTCCTCGCGTCTTCAGCCCTGTATCCAAGGTAAGGGGGTGGGCATTCCGACGATTCTTGATTATTTTTGTTCATTGTTTAATTCTCTACCATATCTTTATCTGAGCATATCTTTATATCTTTATATATCTTTATCAATATATATATATACCGTATTTTCTCTATTAGAATGCCACTCCCCAGTTGAATGCCAGTCTCTAATAGAATGCCACTTTGGAAGGTGATCGAAAAATAGAATGCCACTCTCTTATTGAATGCCAGTCTCTAATAGAATGACACCCTTCTTTAATAACGAAAATTTTCCATGTATAATAAAATACTTTATCTAAAGCTATTTCCATTGATTTCTTCTTATTTTATGTTCATTTAGTAATATTATGTAAACTAAAATGCGGCAAAATTGCAAATCCAAGATCCAGTAACGGGATTTTCTAAAAATGTTAAGGATTTTTCCTTAATATTTTTACGTAATAGAGACAGTGATAAAGTGAACTTGAGTTAAATTAATGATATCGTGGGGTGAAGGGATTAAGAAGAATTCAGAGTGATATCGACGGATTTGTAGCGATTAATAAGGATATAAGTGGATTCAAAGGAAAAAAAGAATATTAAGAGGTAAAGAGATATCGGTGGATTAGACGGAATTTAGAGAAATATCGGGAATTATAGGGAATAAAGAATTCTATATTAGGGAGAGTAGAGGGGCATAGAGGGGAAATTTCCAAATCTTCTCACCCCTACAAATCACTTGATATCACCCTAACCTCTGCTTAATCCATCTTAATAATCTAAATCTTTAATATCTCCACCATATCCTCTTAATCAGCAAATCTTGCTTTTCTTCAATCATCGATACCAGCTCTCTTAATACATCAAAATCAACCAAATCCCACTTAAGCCCTCAAAATCCTCCTTATCCCTCGAATTTGTTGAACCTTAAAAACTATTCTAAAGCAAATAATTTTCGTATTCAACTTAAATTCGATTTTGGCATTTTTCCCATGTCAGGATGAAACTAAATTTTGAGACAAATTGAATTTGCTAGATGAAAATTTTTTATAGTTTCAAAATTTAGACATCCTAAAATAGAATGCCACTCTCCAGTTGAATGCCAGTCTCTAATATAATGCCACTTCCAAAGGTGATTGAAAAATAGAATGCCATGGCATTCTAATAGAGAAAATACGGTATTTCAGAATTTTCCCAATTTTAATTGGTGAGCAGATGAAACTTCCAAACTGAAATATATAACTTTAAATCTATGAGAGTAAATTATAAAGTTTCGTCTCCAAATCATTTCCAAAATTGTCTTCTACAGAACACAGGTCAAAGCAAAACATGGTTTATACTAGTGTTATTCACGGTACGGTATTACCGCGGTATTTTTCGGTAATACCGCGGTATTTTTACCGAAATACCGATATCGAAACCGATACCGTCCAGTTTTTAAAAAATCGGTATTTTTTCGGTATCGGTATTTTACCGAAATACCGATACCGATACCGCCTCTATCAAAATACCGCGGTATTTTTCGGTATTTCGGTATTTATCTGGTAGACTAAAAAGTGAGTTTTTTCGCCTACGGCCTACCGAAATTTTCAAAATTTTCGCCTGCGGCGCTGAAAAAATAAGAAAGTTGGCTTCCAATTCTAAAATTTTGGCTTCTGGCGGTTAAAAATGGAAAAATTTGGCTTCATGGCCTTCAAAATTTTATAAAATTTTCGCCTGCGGCGCAAAAAATGAAGAAATCTGACTTAAATTCTGCGCAAGCAACGTCAGTAGAAAGTGAAAGGATTTTTTCCGTAGCAAGAGACGTCTTTGAATACATGCGATCACTTTTGTGTCCAGTAAATGCAGAAATGTTAATTTTTCTGAAGCAAACACTTCCATTGATTCATTACAAATACTAGATTCACTATTTATTCACTATTTATAAACTTATTTTACATTTATTGTATTAAATTAGCTCATCTGGTAAATTTTCAAAAAATACCGAAATACCGCGGTAATACCGACTATTTTTCGTCGGTATTTTTCGGTATCGGTATTTTACCGAAATACCGATACCGATACCGCCTCAATCAAAAATACCGCGGTATTTTCGGTATCGGTATTTTACCGAAAATACCGATACCGAAAAATCGCGTTTGAATAACACTAAGTTTATACGTCAGAATTGTCCTTTAATAATATACCTTTACCTTTAAAATAAAATATTTATAATTCAACTTTGAATTAGATTTTTACAATTTTTTCGCCATTAGTAGGAATCGCTGACATTTAGTAATACTTCAATTTTTAATTGGAAAATGGCTAATGATTGATAAAAAAAATTTTCCATTTTTGAGTTCTTGCATTTTTTGCGTTGATTTTTGGCTTGTGCTGCGTTTATGAAATTTTTAATAATATATATAAAATTTACATATAGCGTTAATTCAATGAAAATACATATATTTATATAAAACACAAAAAATTGATTATTTTAATTGGTAATAAATAGGTATATAAATGAAAACGAGTAAAATCAAAAAATAATTTAAGATTTCAATAAAATTCTTTGAGAATTTCATGTTTTGAGATTTCATAATTAAACGGCTTAGCTTCCAAATTATTTCCGAAATTAGCTTCAATAGAACAACTCATCAGAAAAACAGAAGGTTTATATGAGTCAGAATTCTCGTTCAATAAAATAGCTTTCCCTTTAAAACAATTTTTATGAAAATAATTGTCATTAATTAATTACCAATCTGTTTTCCATTTTGTGTAAAGAAAACATAAGGAAATTCATTTGTCATATTAGTTGGAGGATAAACTAATCCACAACCAAAAATATCATTATCCTTCCAAGAAATATTGTCTAGATAAAATCCAACAGCTTTCTCGTTAAAAACAGTAGCAAACTCAGCAGAAAATTTAATAAATTTATTTGTCCTACAATTTTTTAGACCAATATAAATCCATTTCCAAATTTGATTCAACTCTCCTTCAAATATACATTTAACTTCAAAATAATATAAAGAATAATTAAAACAAGTATGAGGTTTTTTAAATGAATTTTCAGCATGAACATAAGCAATGGCATTTTTTCCTAAAAGTATTTGCAAATTATTGAAATTCAAAATAATTTACCTCCTTGCTCCTTCAAGCAATTAATATATTTAATATTTTCATCATTAATTAAATTTCCAAATCCATTTCCTTCAATACAATTTCCAACAGGTTTATTTGGATTTATACAATTATTGGAACAACATCCATAAATTTCACTCCATTTATTTTTAATTCCAACAAAATTCTTTTTAAAAAATTAATTTTAATAATTTAATTATAATTATAAACTAACCGCAGCACCTTTTATTGTTTTTTGAGGTGTTTTAATGTTTGAACTTCCACCGCCTCCATTCGTTATAATCCATTTTTGTGGGTCGTTTGGATTTTGTTGGAAAGACAAATCTCCTTAATAAAAATTTTGAATGTTGTGACTTATAAGGGGTTTTTTGGCTGGAACGATTTGGACAAATGAGGTTTCATTCGAAAGAGCTCGCCGAGCTGAGTCGATCGCGGGGGCAGAGAAGTCGATCCGACAATCAGGGACCGAGTTACAGACCCCTGAAGTTTGAAAAAGAGAAGGGGGGAGTAAGCTCATTTTGGGGTGAAAAATTCGAAAATGCAAATAATAGCTCAATCGACTCGGCTCGTCGAGCTGAGTCGAATGACACCAAAATCAGCTCGATATCTTGATTCTGAGCCAAGATAAACAGGTTCAAACTGGTCAACATGAACCTATGGGGCGTCGGCGAGGCGCTTGTGCGAAACCCCGCGCTTCGCGCGGGGTTTCGCGGCACACGCCTCGCGGGGAGTCAACGGTCGCTGGGTCTGGGTCAGTAACATAAACCTATTCCTATCTCCCTTGCTCTGGACGTACTTGGGGCCTCCGTAGCAGCAAAAACCTCAACAATGACCATAGGTAAGGAGCTAAAACAAACGATCATAACTTTGTCAAATCAAGTCGGATTTCGGTGATTTTGGTATCATTCGACTCAGCTCGACGAGCTGAGTCGATTGAGCTATTATTTGCATTTTCAAATTTTTCACCCCAAAATGAGCTTACTCCCCCCTACTCTTTTTCAAACTTCAGGGGTCTGTATCTCGGTCCCTGATTGTCGGATCGACTTCTCTGCCCCCGCGATCGACTCAGCTCGGCGAGCTCTTTCGAATGACACCTCATTTGTCCAAATCGGTCCAGCCAAAAAAACCCCTATAAGTCACAACATTCAAAAATTTTTTCAGAAAATTCATTAACAAAGAAAAAAAAACCTAAAGTAATTTTTTGCTGAGGCTTTGAAACCGGAGTGAATAGTTGCTGAGTTTGTTGTGGCTCTCCTTTGACTGGTGACTTTTCTGGTATACCTTTCTGCAGAATTAATAAAAAAAAATTTAAATTTATCTTTTAGATTTAGAGTTAAATCTATTTTTGGAAAGACTATTCTTGAAATTTCTAAAAAAAAGTATGTATGTAATTGTCGTGTAAGAATTACAGGGCTCCAAATCCGTACTTATTTTGATAGTACCCTTACAAATTGACTACCGTATTTACGAAAGTCAAAATGTACTTATTTGTAGCTAAGCACTTAAAATTGACTTAACAATAACCTAAATAAATAACAATCCCTTTATAAGTTGTAGGGTTTTTACTCAATTGAGTTGCACCCAAATTAATATTTATTTCACCTTTAAAACCTCTTCCAAATAATTAGTTTTTTCGTCTTTTCGAACATTTTCTTCAATTAATTTTTGAAAATTTTGTTCAATTTCTTTAAATTTACTTTCATTATCAAAATTTATTTTTTCAATTTTCTAAAATTTATTTTTACAAAATTATTTAAAATATCCAAACTTTATTCATTTCCTTCAATTCATTTTCAAGAAAAACAACTTTCTTTTCTAAATTGACACTCTTTTCTTTCTCTCCAACCAAATTTTTTTCAAGTTTTTCAAAATTAATTTGAAGTTTTTCCAAATCATCTTTCTCATTTTCTACCAAAAGCCAATCAGAATTTGATGATAATTCTTTTTCAGTCATTTCGTTTTTGAATTTAAAGAAATAAATTCTGTTAAAAATTTATTCTTAATTTAAAAAAAAATATGAGCAAATATAAATAAATTTAAGTTTTTTTGAAAAATTTAAAAAGTAATGTTACTTTTCATTTATCGCGGCGCAAAGTCCTCCCTTCCATTTATGACCTTTCCTCTTCTACTTATGCTTGAAGTAAATATATTTAAAAATTTATTTATATTTTTTATTTACGATTTTTACCCAAAGCATATATTTAAAAATAAAGTGTTTTATTAAACAAAATACTTTGACCTATATATATTAATGATATAATGTTTGGAACCTAGAATTTATACATAGTAGAATAATACACAAATGTCATGATGAGAAATAATATGTAATAATTCAAGTCACAAGGGAGGAGAGAAAAAATATTAAAAAAGCTTATTCTCCGTTTGCTAGGTTCTCATTGCTGATACATATGTATGTGAAAAATAAATGATTATTTGGTTAAACATGAATATTTCAATGAAAAATTTTCGTTTTTTAAAGGGAAATTTTATTAAAAGCTGTTCAATTATTCGTATTTCTTATTAATATTGTTTTATTTTTCTGTGTTTTCCTAGTTCCATTATTATATCTTTTATAATATTATTTTTGGAACCTTTTTAATTTAATTCTTTAGAATCTAAAAATGGTTCATTACAAATTTGGTCGTTGTACTGTTTGCCAATTTCGTTTACGTCCTGACAATGTTTATACTTTGAAAAATTGTAATCACACATTCCATCGCGAATGTGTCATCCGTTGGATTACCGAAGGGGTTAAGGAAATTTATTTTTATCAAATTCTGTTCTAACATTTTTAGTCAAAAGATTGTCCTCGTTGCCGTTATCCTGCTACTTTGACTGATATTAAACAACTTTTTGTTGAAGAGGCAAGTGATAGTTCTGACGATTCTGGTGATGAGCTCATTCAAAGTTCGAGCAAAATCTCTACTCAAACGGTGGGAATTTTAAGATAAAATTAAGTGCTACTTCATCCAATAGATAATTCATTAAATTTTTTATTATCAAATGAAGGCTAGGATGCATTTTAAACATTTCCATCCGTGACTAGTTGACTTGTGTTTGAAAATGAAATCTTAAACGGAAAAGTGTCAAGTTATACCTATAAACAATTTTAAAAAATATTAAAAAAATTAATTTATTTTATATACACTCTGTCACAAAAGTATAAGCACCCCTAAATTTTTTTGAAAACTCATGATCCCTTCACATTATTTGTTTTATTTTTTTCCTACATTAGCAGGGATCCAAAACATAACTAAAAATAAAGTTTCAGAAAATTCTATCGATTTAAAAATTTTAAAATTGAATTTTCTCGAAAATCATGTGTCACAAAAGTATAAGCACCCCTGTGAAAATTTTATTTCTACTTATTTTAAAATTCTACAAAAAATACAGTAAATATGTCTATCGATATTATGAAAAATAAAAAAAGAATTAGGCCCATATCTCATTCCAGTGTCGAGATCTCGATACCCTGAAAATCAACATAAAACAGGGGTTTTCAACTTCAAAAAAATTTTTCGACCCCTCATGGTTTGTTTTAAATTTTCAATTTGAGCTCATTCGAAAGCCCTTTAAATTTGCTACAAGATAGCATAAATCTTATTTTCTAGAAAAATTATTTCAGCAGGTTATTAAGTTTTAAATTTCTAAAGCGCAAAAAACGTCCAAATGCCCCATAAAATTAGCTCCTGAGGATTAACGTCCTGTATATCCCTATTGAATTTTTTCTGAAAAATAAGATTTATGCTATCTTGTAGCAAATTTAAAGGGCTTTCGAATGAGCTCAAATTGAAAATTTAAAACAAACCATAAGGGGTCGAAAAATTTTTTTGAAGTTGAAAACCCCTGTTTTATGTTGATTTTCAGGGTATCGAGATCTCGACACTGGAATGAGATATGGGCCTAATTCTTTTTTTATTTTTCATAATATCGATAGACATATTTACTGTATTTTTTGTAGAATTTTAAAATAAGTAGAAATAAAATTTTCACAGGGGTGCTTATACTTTTGTGACAGAGTGTATATATAGAAGGCAAATGACTTTTTTCACAAAAAGAGTAGTGATTTAGCAATTGTTAAATTAACTGATAGTATGTCTTGTAAATATGCGTTTAGTTAGTTTCTAATTAAATCTAATAATAATTTCTAAAGAATTTTGTTAAAATTAAAAATAAATGGAGTGAAATTTATGGTAAATGTTGTGACAATAAATGTATAAATACAGCCAAACCTATTGGTAATTGTATTAAAGGAAATGGATATGGAAATATAATTAATGATGAAAATATTAAATACTTCGTTCGTTTGGAGGGGAAAGGAGGTAATTTTTAAATATTCAATTTTCAATTCTTGTCTAAATATTTTTAGATGTGAATATTCCTTTTCAAATTTATGCAGAAAATTCGTTTAAAAAACCACGAAATTGTGTCGATTATACAGTTTATTATTTTGAAATTAAATGTAAATTTGAAGGAGAGGCGAAGAATTGTACATATTGGATGCATATTGGCCTTAAAAATTTAAATTCTAAATATACTATTCATTATTTCGTAAATCTGGATACAATTTATTCCCCTAATAAACATCAAGTGCTTAATCTTTCAACAGATTTCAATAATAATGATATTTTTGGTTGTGGATTAGTTTATCCTCCAACTAATAAAACAGAAGAATTTCCTTATGTTTTCTTTACTCATAATGGAAAACAACTTGGTAAATATTTAATAATAAAAATTATTTTAAAAAATTTCTTTAAGGAAAGGGTACATTATTAAAGGACAATTTCGACTCATTTAACCCATTCATTGATCTGTTATGTTGTTCTGCTGAAACGAATTTTGGATGCGATCTTGGGACTAAAAATTTTAATTACGACATTTCAAAACATTTGATTCTTCAAGAATTTTACTGAAATTTTTTGATTAATTTTGTCATATTATTTTTTGAATTCGAATAACAGTTTTTTAAATAATTCTGCTGAATTTTTAAATGAAAAAACTTTTTATTTGATTTTTATTCAATCCCTCGATAAAAGGTGGATTTTTTGTGATCATTTGTACAGGGTACCTCAAAAATCTTTGCCCGCACATTTTTTAGCATAACTTTATTAAAACTTAATCAAATAATATCAAAATACAATCAAATACATAATAGAGAATTAAATGGAGAACAAAATAAATAAGGATTTTTCGAAATATCTTCCTTTAGCCTTAAGATAGAGGCGCAATTTAAGAAAATACGGTACTTTAAAAAAAAAGAATTGAAAACCAGA